CATCCGTGCACCGTTACCGGGGCGAATCCAATCCCTTACACATCCTCTTCCATAATGGATAAATGTAATTACAGCTAGATACAGGATATCTAATGATCATCAAATCATCAGTAATGAGAGTCCGTACGAAGATCTTACCGCAAATGCTAAAGGTGGAATTCCTTCCTAATATGACTGCAGTTTCAGCAGTCATATTAACGCTAATCTTACTGAAGCACGTGTCAATTCGGCTACAATTCATCCAACAAATTAGGAATTCCCAAGTCGGCTGCGGCACGTTTCATGCATTGTCGCGCCGCAATGCACATCTGGGCAATGAAAGATTTTATCAACTTCAGAGCTGTAATTGATACTTATTTACACTGAATAGATAACATTATCGATAATACGTCATCGCAATTTGGTTATTTATGTTTACAATGATGAAATGTGTTGAGTCACGATAACATTTGCTGCATCTCGGTGCAAAAAGTATTAAAGCGATGGTCATTGTGAGCGACGTCAGCGCGGCGGCGCCGGTCGTGCGTGCTCTTCTAACGGTGGTAATACACAAATTGAATACTGTTTTTTGCTGCCGGTGAGATCGGTTTCCTCATGCCCCAGCCCTAATTCTCGGCAAATTGAATTACGACGGATATAGACCGCGATAGCCGATACTTATTGAAGTTAAAAGTGTACCTAAGCTCATGTAAGGCACGTAATACATGTGATATCCCTTGAGTTTTTTATTATTGGCCGGTGTCACTCAGTAAAACACATAGAGTTCTAATATACTTAATTAAATATTTTCTATTTTCTTACAGGTAATGAAATTTTTCATTCAGTGTGAAAAAAAAACAATAACCAACTTTCTCACAGTAATACGTGCTATGAAAATGTATTCTTTACTTTATATTCACATTGATAAATTCAATATAAAAATATCGCTGTTCTATGGTTCTTTACAAGAGAGAGATGACAAAAAAGCATGAAAAACTAGTTGAATAATTAGATTATCGCATTCTATCAATGTGTCTTTGGACTGTCAGCCACCTGGGTGGATATCAGCAGTATATCAGCCGTATATTAAGCGTTATTCTAGCCTCTAGCTGGATAAGGAGATGCTATTAATAAACTGTGTCGGTATCGTGTTAGCTCGGCGATGTTTTAATAAGCTGCAGCGAGCGAGGCGGTTATGTGATGGCATAACGGCCTTGGTCGGCCTTGCCACTCGGGTTACATGAACCGGGTCACTGCCCTCCTCGGTTATTGCTAATCGAATCAGTACGCGTCATTATGTAACTTGTTATGCGCGGCGTTTAATTAAAATTGGGACTGAAATGATTTAGGAAGAAGATCTTTGGTTCCGTCAGATACTTTTATATTTCTATGCAATTTCCTAGTTAGAATAGAAATGCAAAACTTTAATAACAATGAAAATAGCGGCAAGCGATCATTACCACCGGGAATTGAGCTTTTAAGCTCAATCTAAACATCTCAAGACTAACTAGATTCCTCAAGTGGCCGGCAGACACGCCGCCATAGGTAGAAAGGCTCGTTTAGTCCCGTCACGAGCCGGGCAGCGGCTCTGTATCACGGCAGCTGCTTACAACCCTGCTGCAAGGGCTGGCAATGCTTTTAGAACTAAATATTTTTGAAGTGTTAGCGAAAGCTAAGTGAAACGTGAAAGAAAAGACGCTACGGAAATTTTTCATGAGCAATATTAGAAATGGATTCTTCACACCACTACCATTTTTGTCTCGAAGCTCTTGTTGATGATGATTAGTCTAAAAGGAGTACTTTTACGATGGGAACAACATTAGATTTGCGTTTTTTTTTCTCCCTTTTCATGTAAAACAGCGCTCTACCTCGACGGTAATATTATTATGGTCGGTTTGAATTATCTTCAAGATTCTAACGTAGCTCCCATTGAATAATTAAATCGCCATCCTGTGCAGTGAAAAATGCTTTTTGTAAGCCTACTTGCAAAGATGAATGGGATATTATTACGCACCTGTGCTAGGACGTTAACGATGAAATTTATCTAAGTACTTGGCCTCGAATAAAATTCTATAGTGCAACTAAGTAGCAGCACTGCAATTAGTAGCAGCCAATTGATAGGGTAAGCAAATGAACCGTCGCTAAACAATGTCTAAGTCTAAGCACACTTCAGAGCCACGAAGGTTAATATTGATAGTTTTCTTCTACTAGTGTTTGGAAAGTCCCCGGTAGCTGGTGGTACCCCTGCGAATGTCCAATGCTCCGTTATCGCTGTTATCGCGGTGCCACTTCCGACCTTCGTAACTAAGCGCCTACACAGCTTTCCTAGTGACGTCCAAGCGTGCCGACTGACCCGTTCAGGTTTCAAAGGATTTATAATGTCATTTTCTTAAAGCACACGCACTAACCGCCCGTGAATGGAGCATGAATGGTTTAAACCCCATTTTTAGAGCCTGACTCTACAAGAAAACCACGACTTCTATATTTATCTCGACTCCAACAAAGTGAAAGACACTTATAAATATGGATAGGTGAAACATGTAAATGAAACAAAACATACGAGCAAACAATACTTTCGATTACCTACGATTTTTCTTAAGTTTCAGTGATACTTACCTTGTTTTAGTAGACCACTGTAACTAACTTAAAAAGAAATAAAGATCTCAATCTTTATGTCTAAAAATACTGATTCCCCATCATAAGTTGCAGGGATTTACTTGATGAAGAAGCGTGGGAACTTATTGATCGTATTTTGTGATTCGTCGGAGCGTTGCAAATATGCTTGGTGCAATGTCATCGACACCGACCGCCACGGAAAGTGTAAAAGTTCTACCAAACGGAATGACTTGGTTTTATTTCTAGCTCCCTTCCCTTTAGGGTTTCCTTTAAACTTTTTTACGAGTATGTTCCATCTATTATGAGCTATTGTAACCTAAAAGGTCTAGAGATTTTAAATTACCCGCAGTCAAGCTTTTCGTTTTTTACTATGAATCCTTGCTTATTATCGTAATAAGCTATTTACCATTTTAAACAGCATACAAAAGGCAATGAAAAGTAAGGCAACCTTTACAATATCATTAATTTTGCCTTTAAAGATACTATCTAAACGTAATCAAAAAACATTTTAAATTCTCATTAGCATAAATAAACAAAAAAAGAACTTCGATCGTAAAATTGCAACTCTGTCAAGATGGTCGATAGAGTAGCTCTCATTATTAAACAATAAACATTATGATATAGTAAAACTAATTTGCATTCGCTCATAGCGAAACAAGCTTGATGAAGTTCAGATACTTAACGTCATCTCCCGCGCATAAATCATCCGTGTACTAAAATAAATAGCGCGTCTAGGAGCACCAGGGTAGTTTGCTAAGGATGTCATTACCATAATAGGCTGGGCATTATAATAATTTTGATTGACAGTTCAAATCGATGCGGCTCGTGAAAAGTGACCGGTTTTGCGGTAATCACTATAGTGTATGCCTAGGAGCAGCACGGTAATTTGGTCCACTACGAGTGTTTTATTCTGATTTCTCTTCAACAAAGTAAGATTTAAATGACGCAAATAGCGGCTAAGGGCTCTATAACAGTGTAACTGTTGGGCAACAGATGCAAACGAATAATCATTTCGATAAATCGAGTTATTGGAATTGAAGCTATATCGGGCTTGCTTCTTACTGACCATTGTAATTTAGTTTTAGTTTTGTCGATTACAGGTTCCAGCCTTGTAGTTAAAACTATCAATTTATAAACAGTTAAAATGATTGGAATAACGAACCAGGTGTAAAACATAGAGGTGTATTAACCGAGCTAGCGTGAAGTTGTAAAATGAAAATTACCTATTCACTTCTTTAATTGTCTCGTCTAATATCCTGGTCAATTTCTTTCTAAACTGTTGCCGTTTCGGTCGCGTTCTCGTGGGCGAGTGACAATCCTTTGTCCATCTGCTGCCGGTCAACGGCCTAAATCGCCAGTTTACGTCACCTCATTATTGGCGGGGACCGGAGAACATGTCGAGACATTGGCGCTATGCTAACGAATCGATTAGGGACGGTTCACCGACCGTCATCGTTCCGGTAACCGATTCATTTATCCGCTACCTGTCCAAAATTTTGTATTGATTTGTCACCACTTTCTGATAACGTGTTATCCGAAATAGCTAGATTCAGATACATTACATGCGATTTTTATTACGAAACAGCAAAACCTGAGCACACTCAATAGGTACTCTATCCACATAATAAAGCTATAGAAAGGATGAGGATAATTCTACACAATTACTAGAGAAAAAATAAAAAAGGGCCATGGACTTTTAATAAATGGAATTTACGAGTAATTTTAATAAAATATTGACGCCCTTGTCTAGAAAAAGAAAGCACAGCTAGTAATTGACTATCTGTGCAACTTGAATATGTTATGTTACAGACAATCATCCAATTACATAGATGGATAAGTCTAGAACCTAAGTACAGCTGGTGCAAGTAGATTGTCGTATGATTGGTAATTATAACGCGGAGTCGTCGTTTCAGCCGAAAGACGTCCACTGCTGGACAAAGGCCTCCCCCAAGGATTTCCACAAACGCGGAGTAAATCACCATAATAACGACGCGTTACGTGCTTCCCTCACGAGGTTTTAACAGCTGCCATTCGTTCTGACATTAGGCGATGATTCTAACCATGGAGTACTTATCAATTGCGTGTGAAAATCAAGAATTGCTCGACGCGGCAAGCTTTGCGAGAGGCACCAAGAGTAATTGCAGTAGTAGGATGCAGTCGGAATCACCGAGACGGACATCGTGGATCGCTGCAATCTTGTATTGATTATGATGATACACGCGCAACACGCACTAAAACCCGGACCTAATCAAAGGTTCGCTTGTATAAAAGAACTCGAATCGAACCCTACAGTCATAGATTTGTTCAGGTTCATTAGTCGGCATTTCTGCTGCATTATTTATGCACTTTCACTCGACTTAAAGTTTAAATGATAGAGTAATGTTGAATTCGTCTATTTGTTCTAGAGCCCCCAAGCAACTCTAACCCGAGCGGCGAGTTACCGGTTACCATCGAGCACCAGCAAGACACTAACACGTCCAGCAACTTGACGAGGAATGACGCTAACTGTGACAAGACTGGCACTTGTTACGATGGTAATTACATTTTTTGTTTTACATTCCTGCTTGTGACACAGGCTGTCACTTTCGCGAGCTAGTCCCTTGGAGGATTTGTGTTAATGAACTCGATCGTTCTTTGGCGCGTCTCGAAGAAATTACTCTCTCGAGCAACTTGTGCTATTACTTTATGTATAAGGTTATTGACATTTATGTTTGTGTTTCAGTGTCGGTACTTTGCAAGGATACGAGAATCGCTGTGCAAGTTCGCACTAACAGGCCTTTTAATGGTCGTATCTACGCGCTGGGTCGATCCGAGACGTGTAACATTGACGTCGTGAACAGCGATCTCTTCCGACTCGATCTAACGATGGCTGGCCAGGATTGTAATACACAGAGCGTCGTAAGTGCCTTGAAGACGAAATCATTACATAACTCATTTTGTTTGATAACGTTTCTAAAATGAAATATTTTTTCAGACCGGAGTCTACTCTAACACTGTCGTCCTACAGCACCACAGTGTTGTCATGACAAAGGCGGACAAGATTTACAAAGTAAAATGCACATACGACATGAGCTCCAAGAACATTACATTCGGAATGGTACCAATCAGGTCAGTGTTTAAAGTAAACGGTATCTGTCTGTAGTTCTGTACACACAATGGATGTAATGCAAGAATGTTAAAAGGCACACAACGCGCCCTGCAATTTATTCAGTAACAAGCCTAAAGACATGCCTTGACGGCATAATGAGAAAAAGGAAGCCGTATCGGCACGTGAAGGAAAATTTAACGTCGAATATCTCCCTTACATCGTAAACGCGTAACAATTAGATTCACAAGCTGGCACTTGTGGCGATCGTGATGCGCGCTGCCTACCAACTGCAATTATCTACTTTGTATGTATGTAGTTTTAATGAAGTGAGCAGTACCGTGATAACCATCATGATTGCTGTCAATGAATGTAATGCGATTGCACCGGGTCGGCCATAATAGTAGAATTTATTATGCAAAGTGCAGTCAGTAATGTAACGACGTGTGAATTTAACTCATTAGTTGCCGTTTGACTTATTTTGATATCTTACAATTCAGAATATTAATGTGAGACTATAATTAAAATGGGTTGTAATATTTTAACCGCAGAGATCCTGAGATGATTTCCATTACGGCATCACCGGAGGCGCCTTCGCCGCGCATTCGTATCTTAGACGCCCACCAGCGAGAGGTCGAGACGGTCCGCATCGGAGATCGTCTTACCTTCCGCATCGAGATTCCCGAAGACAGTAAGATCACTTTCAATAACGAATATATTCATGTTAGTAATTTGGAGGAATATTTAAAAAATAATATTGTATTATTTGCAGCCCCGTATGGCATCTTCGCGCGCAGCTGTGTCGCAATGGCTAAGGATTCAAAGACGACCATACAAATCATTGACGATGAAGGGTAAGTTATTATTGAAAAGCTACGACGCGTACGATTATACATTTTGAAAAATACATTTATGGAATTGTTATTGTTTCCAGGTGTCCAGTTGATCCCTCAATCTTCCCTGCCTTCACCCCCGACGGCAATTCATTGCAGACCGTTTATGAAGCCTTCAGATTTACCGAATCCTACGGTGTCATCTTCCAGTGCAACGTCAAATACTGTCTTGGACCTTGCTCACCGGTAATATTAATATTATTAATTTCTTTTTCTTATGATTATTGAAAAATATGATTTTATTTACTTCCATATTACTCATAGAGCTGCAGACATACGTATAATAAAAGCTTCGTAGGTGTCATTATAGGTCCTTGTCTTGGACGGTCCTTGTAGATCTATGATTTCCACGCCATCATTGAGATGACCCCTTATGTGGCGGAAGGCGGTGACATGACTTCATAGCAATACAAGGTTTTTGCTCATTAGGACAATATCGTTAGTGACGCATAATATAAAGCTCCTATTACTATTAGACACGGCGGAACCGTTCCGGCTAATCTATAACTTTATTATGATGGTAATCTTCGCTTCCAGGCGGTGTGTGAGTGGGCAATGGAATCGATCGAATCCTGGGGCAGAAGGAAGCGTTCTTTGCCACACAACGAGACCGGCGAGAACCACTCACAAGAAGAAAATATGAACATTTCCCAAGAAATACTCGTTTTGGACTTCGGCGACGAAAGACAGAGCACAGACTTCTTAAGGTCCGACAAGCCTGGCGGCACGGTGTCAGAGGCTAACTTCGGTGGTAAGTAGTTGCTCTATTTATAACAGTAATAGCGCAGGCCTTTTATGGCTGTGACTAATGAATTCGAAGGAGTTTACTATCAATTAAAGGTTGTTAGACCATAATGAGCTTGATTAACCCTTTATAGGTCCAGTTCCTTATTTATATTCTTTCTCAGATGCGGTTAATGACTCTTCATAATTGTTTTGTTTATATCATGTTCTTGATTTGTTAGGTAATCTTTATGCGATTCGTTGTTACATTCAACCAATATTTTAATTATTGGTGGTTTTTTTACAGAAAAAACTGTGACAATAGTAGAGCCGTGCCCCAGCAAGGCGTCGGTGCTGCTGCTGGGCGTGGCGTGCGCGCTGCTGGTACTTCTCTACATCGCCACCGTGTTCTGCTACTACATGCGCAAGTGGCTCGCGCCGCCCAAACACATGTCGTAACCTGATCGTCAAACCACACATCATTTTGACCGTGTTCAGATTCCCCATTTTACGCGCGTGTTTTGTTTTTAAACAGAGTTCCACCCTTATTCAATCAATCAGGTTCGCGAATAGTGTGTCCAAAAACGCACGATCACAAATCACGCGCGTAAAATGCGTCAGACACGGACAGAGGCTACGTCGACGATTGGTCTCGCGAGTAGTTCCGACGTTCTTCTCCGAGGAACTTGTGATACGAATGACTGATGAAAAACAATATCAATTATTCACAGGTCAAATCCGTCCATTTAATTTAGGAACCCTCATTTGTAATTGTAAACTAGATTATCCTCGTGGTGTCAAGCATTGGAACGTTTTTGATATCTGTTTTGATGATATTATTGTGACCACCGCGTGTTTTGCATTAACTTTAGTGGTAATTTATTGCATTTAAAAGCATTTATTAATATTAAGTAGGCATAGAAGTAACGAAATACCCTGCAGGATAATCATTATGCATTTATTTAGCAGTTAATCGAATTCTAGGATATTTATCCCCCTTATAAACTGCTGCAATAGGGTACCTAGGAAATTGTATTATTAAGTAAGACAATGCATTTATTAGATAAATAAGTTAAGCAACCAGTGTTTGTACAATTGTTTAGCATTTTTAGTGGTACCACGAATTATATTTTTGGAATAGTCCCTAAAAGCGAATATTAAAGCAAAATAAATGACGAATATGCTTTATGGGATTATTCCGAACGACTAAAATTTTAAACTGACTACATAGTTTAGTGAACAAGCTTAATTTAAGGACAAAATTTTTGACGAATGCTATAATTTACTCGTAAGATATCTGAACTCTTCCAACATTATTTCAAGTCAGTTTGACAGCTTAATGCCGCTTTTTACCTCTGTCAAAAGTTCAGACTGTATTTTTGTAAATATTATACCATTTATTGCAATTGCTTTGGCTCAAGCACTTTAGAAACTCTTATGAACTTTCAGTTGGGTTCTGAAGAAATATATATAGGACTAATTTTATTTATTGTACTGAGTGCACAACTAAATAGTCATAAAAATATAATGTTTCTCTTAACCCAACTTGAGATTTCTATTTTATTTATTTAGACTAATTTTATTTTTTACTTATTTATTTTTCATTATGATTAACAAATGAAATAAACTTGTACAAATTAATTTTGTTTTTATTTCATAACACATTCTAATTTCAATAAACAGTAACAAATAGTTAACTATTAAAATTCACAGATCAAAAATTAATAAATTATTTAAATTTTAAAACTACAATTTTCATATCAAGCATTTGATACCAATAATTTGCTATAAACAGTGTTGAGTATCTCTTCTTTGATCTTTGTATCTAGTTCATCAGATTGACAATCAAATACTTTTTCAAAGTTACGTAAAAACAATGGAGTCATTTTGTCAATAGAGCATAAAACACCAGTTTCTTTAGTGAGAGAGGTAACACCTTTATCTTCTATACCACAAGGATCAATGTGGTCAAACCAGCTGAGATCATTATCACAGTTTAGAGATATGCCATGTGTTGTGACATACCTGGAGGCATGGATCCCGATGGCAGCTATTTTGTTATCATCTACCCACACGCCAGTGTGTGGTGACCTTTTAGCTTTGATACCTTAAACAAATACAGACATTTTAAAAACAAACTGATAAACTTAGTTCATTTTGCCTCTAAAATCATCATTTGAGGTGGAGAATGTAGTACCTACAGTGGAATCTCTATAACTCGAAATCCTCAGTACTTAAGTCGAAAAAATTTGCCATTCCCTTCCGCTAAACACCTAAATACGCGGTATCTCGAATTATTTAGACTTTGAACTCGAACAAAATGTTATTTCCCTACAAAGTATTGATGATACATATTATGGTTCGGGGCTTCCAATCTATTGTTATTGTCTTGTACACGTGCAATGAATGAATACATTCATGAAACTTTTCTAAGTAACACAGCTGTGAACGTGATGTTTGTTCCTTGTCGACACAGGACACGATTACTTATAGCGGAGCTTGTTAGTATTATTTTGGCTGTTAACCAACAACAACATGAGTACAAAGCGGAAACTAAAGACTTTGACTCAACGTGAAAAAAGCGATGTTATCAATGCGGTAAAAAGTGGAATGAAAAAAAAAGACGTCGCAGCTCAATACGGATTGCCAGCAACCACTTTGTCTACAATAATTAAGAATGAAGCCGAAATATTGCGAAGATAATTATGAATCAAGTAGCAATTTATCCAGCAAAAGACGGAGTCTAGCTGTGTTAATCGTACTAACTATTCTAATTCTGTCGTATCAATAAAATGCAGTTTCAGCACGTATTCCGTCTATTTTTCCTCAAGTGACATTAATAATAAAAAAGCGAACATCGAAAGTTAATAGACAATAAAAAAACATAGCGTAAAAAAGTATACATATTTATCAAAAAGTGTCCATTCGTGGACAAGCTGAGTTTCCTGATTTAGAAGAATACTTACTCACTTGGTTCAAACAGTGTAGGGACAAAAACATAAGCGTATCTGGGCCTATATTACGCAAAATGGCAGAAGAACTTTCAAAATCACTGGGACACAGTTCTTTTCGTGCCAGCAACGGTTGGTTGGTGAATTTTAAGAAGCGTCATAAACTTGTGTTTATAAAGGTTTGCGGCGAAAGTGCAAGTGTCAATAACGAGATAAGTGATGAATGGATAATTGAGTTGCAGAGTTTATTGAAGGATTATGAACCAAAAGCCTTTGTCAAAAGCCAAAAGTATTTAATGCCGACGAGACTGGCCTTTTTTTCAAGTGCCTACCTGATAAAACACTTATTTTTAAAAATGAAAAATGTCATGGCGGTAAGCACAGTAAAGAGCGATTAACAATATTGCTAGCAACAAACATGACAGGCTCTGAAAAACTTAAACCATTAGTTATAGGAAAGGCTAAAAAGCCTCGTTGTTTTCCTGGTTGTAAATCTCTACCACTAGACTATGATGCTAACAAGAAAGCCTGGATGACAGCTGAAATATTCAAAGGATGGCTCATTAAAGTCGACAAGAAAATGATTAAGGAGAAACGCAAAATATTACTTTTCATTGACAACTGTACAGCTCACAACATAATTACGCCATTAAAAGCCGTGAAAGTTAAATTTCTTCCACCCAATACAACATCTTCAGCCCTTAGTTCAAGGAATAATAAAAAACTTCAAATCGGCTTACAGAAAGGAAGTTGTTAGGAAACTGATTGATTATACTGATCCAGCAAGTTTTGAACCAACAATAACAAATAAAGAAGCCAGAGCTGCAATCAACACTCTATGAACTTATGTTGAAAGATGTGATGATATCGAGGAACATGTGTTCGGTTCATTGTTTGAGCTTGAAAAAATAATTGATAAAAAATCTGCAAATTGTTTAAATCAAAAGAAGATAATGGATTTTTTTCAGTGTACAGTTTACATCATAATTTGTTTTAATATGTAAAAAATATAAGTAGAAATTTCAGCAGTTAAGTCATAATGTATCTCAAAGTTCTTGTTAAGTCGAAAACTCGTTAACTCAATTTTTTTTTGCATTACCTTTAACATTCAATTTATAGAGATTCCACTATAAAAGGTAATTAATATAGTGGCCAGGTGATGCCAACTGATTGACATGCATTTAATACTGAGACAATAAAATTTGTAAATAATAAATAAATTGTATTAAGAACTTAGTAGGGTCAATCTTGCAATAATATGGAAATAATTACACAGTTTACAATAAACAGTTAAAATCTTGTCTTACCTAAATCACCACACATCCCAATGACCGTTTCTTCCAAACTATTGACGTACCACTTGACACTAGTTTTGAAGTGCTTCAAGTTTATGACAGGGTACGCTACAAGCTGGCCGGGACCATGGAAGGTGATCAGCCCACCCCGGTTTGTTTTTCTGAACTCTGCTCCAAGTTCTTGGAGGCGTACTATTTCATTTTTGGGAGTATCATCTCTAATACCTGAAAGAAGAAGTATAGTATTAGGATATTATGTAATAATAAGGAAAATCTACTCCAACCACATGAAATTACTGTCATAATAATATTAAACTTAGGAACTAGGCAAGCATGAAATGATGAGATACTTCTTATTTGCACAGTTATTGTAAAGCTCAAGTTGTAAGTTCAGGTAAGGGGCTTTACGACACAAGATTTTTTAAAAGCTTGATAGACTTACCCACGGTATAGACTGGCTTGTGTTCGACAAGTAGAAGAGTATCGTAATTGGTTTGTACTCCCTTCACCATTCCATCGAGGTGTTTTCGAGCTATAGCCAGTTGGATTTTCTGGGCGGTATCATAGCTCATCAGTCCTAGTTTCCAAACCTTAACCATTTTGAATTAGTTCTATTTTTAGTAAGTTAAGACTTCTTTCAAAAGATGATCAGTAACATGTAGGTATGTATTTTTATTTTGATTTTTTGCACTTTTTCTGTAAATTTTGAAAACAAAACAAAAACATGTGACAATTTGACATTGACAGTTGTTGATTCGTTTTTGACCACAGATTGTTTTTGACAGAGGCCGGTTTAATTTTTTTATATTTGATTTTATTGAATGATATAAATTATTTATTTTCAAACAATGATACTGCATATAAAATAGTTATTTACAAAGAGATATTTATTAAAAAGATCTTTTTTCAATAGTTTTATGGAGGTGCTAGCACTACTGCCATCTAGTAGCGACTTTTAGATACAAAGATTTTCATGATAGCACTTGCAATATGTAGTTAAGCATGTAGTTAATCTATTCACCACTAGATGGCAGTATCTGAGTAATATCTCTAGCCTGCCATCTATTATTAAGTTCTTAAAACTTTTATAGTAAAAAGTACCACTACTCTATGATAGATGGCACTAATTATGCAACTAGTTTATTTACTCGCCACTAGATAGCATTGATAGCATGTCACAGTTTGCCCTACTGGCGCACTTGTAGGCACCACCAACAACGTTTTAAGGGCACAATTTCATTCAGTTGGTTCAGTTTCCGGAGTTCCCTGCCCGTAAGGCGGTGTTTCGTACGTTACGTAAACCAGCTGTCAATTTCATCAGTGTGTTTTTAATGCGCTAACATAAAAATATTTAATACATGGCATTGCTTTTATAAATTAGCTTTCGGTTAATACATTCGGTTTAAGTGTTGCAAAAGGTTTAGATTCTTTAGCAAAGTAATGGGCTGATTGTCATGCTGATCCTTGTTAAGTTTAGATGAAACATAACTCTTATGACACAGTTCGCGCAATTACCGCCCTTATGTCTTGTTTGGACAAGGTGTTAGTACGGTCGGAGATGTGGTGTTCTCTCAAACGATGACAGGAAGGGTAAATATTTTTGATTCTATGTCTGCAATATTTATTAAGTTTCTTTGTTTCAACGCAATCTCATCTGCGATTAATTGCAGACGAGCTTGCTACACTGATGCCTGATTGACAACTCAATAATATTACCTATCTACATTCTTAGATTGTGGGTTGACAGGTTCGTGAGCAGGAGCTTACTGTAATCTAATAACCAAGCAACAGCAGGCAGCAAGGATGGAAAATGTAGAGTTGTTTCATAACTCACCTATTAAATTGCTGATAAATTAACCAGTTAGTTATCCAGGTAGGTAATTTGTTGACTACTGTAATTGAACTCTAGTGTTATAATGCTGAGCATTTTTCAGTTTTGTTCAGGTGATCTAAGGTAGAGGCATAAATGCGGGTAGTTTGACTACTTGTCCATAAAAAATGTCCACTAGTCTTAAATGTTTGTTAGTCTTGTAAACAAGACCTCTAGAAACTTTTTTTTTAGGTTAGCGTACTGCCTAGTCTGTACCAAGATTAGGTAGGTACCTACCTACCGACCTGGACGTTAAAGCCGTTAAGACTGCGACTGCATCCTGTGCCTATTGTAAGAGAACCTGGTAAAAATCAATACGTCTCTTCATAATCCATTAACAGTCGGATACCTAAATTCAAAATTAATTTGAGCCAAATAAAACAAAGTCCCATCTGTAGTAGAAATTAAACAGTGATTGATTACGCCACGCAACGCACCATTGCGTACGCGCACCCCAGCCCTCTCTATAAATAGCCGCAGGATGCCAGGAAGCCGGCCTTCCTGCTTCTATTTGACACTTGTTTACCTTTGTGCGGTTTTTAACCCTGCACTGTAAAGGGCAAAGACCGGATCACTTGTTACGAAATAGGTACTAGATGCACGTGTCCTCAGAGTTAGCGGGAATCAGTCAAGAACATGCTCTACATTTTTAATGTAGTTAAATATTTTTGCTTACATTTATGTTTAATAATTCAGCAGGCAGGTTATAAAGATGCTGAGATCAAAAAAAGATTTACTATGAAAATTACAATAATAATATATTTAGTTATAGATGTGTCAGTCAACACTAGAACATGGGTTTCCAAATTTTATTCAGCTTGATGTTTCGTCTTGTGTATACAGCCTTCATCGAAATTGGTAGCTGAATACTGCCAAATATTTCATAGAATATTGCTTACTGAGAATAAGTAGGTATAGTGTTAATTTTTGCCATGATAAAACCTCAAAATTAAATGACGTAAATAAGTGCCCTCAAAAGTGCCTAATAACTAATAGGTACCTACATATTATGATTTTTTTAAATGTTTCGATGAATATTGCTTACTACGAATGTAGTGTTAATTTTATGACAATGCTTCTCCCGAATATTGCGTGCGATATTTTGGCGGGCTCGGGCCGGGCGCGTCGCCATGGCGACGGCGCAGTAGGCCTGCAGCTCCGTGATGCGAATGTCAAGCCGTGGATCGATGCGGCGCTATCTACATATCGCTAGATCCGTAGATCTCCTGAAAAACTTTATCGCCCTTGGGGAATGTCATCGCGTGAAAAATTAAACGGCTTACGGTACGATGAAGTTGACTACCAAAGAGCTGGAAAACACACTTTAGTAACAAATATTTTTGTAAAAGCACAGTAGGCGGGAAATATAATTTTTTAAGTTAGATAGTAATCAAAATCACTAATTTTCGAAGGAAAAAGACTTAAATTCTACAAAGAGGTGTCTCAAGAAAACTTTTAACGTTATATTTTGTAGTGCCTACGTAGTGCAAATCCTTGCAAAGAAAAACAAAAAAGCTCTAATTACTGTTTTTAGAAATATCTAGGAACTTCATCTGTCTAACTCTACACTCCTTTAGTTCGTAAAGGCCAGTTTCGCTACCGGGGACGCTAATAGGTATTCGTACAAAGCAAACAATGAGATGAAGCTTGCAATTGCACTTAAGATAATGACAAGTTTGTGCACATGTCTGTGGTTCCCACAAGTGCATTGCTTGTAGCGTTTTGGTTATCTCTAACGAGTCGGCACAGCTTTAATTCACTACATTTAGCTTTGTAAGTGACCGTTTTTATGGCTTTCATTTATAATTTTGATCACAAATTACACTGTGTTTAATACTTTGTATTTTCAAGACTTCTTACCTATATTAATTTGCCACAGGCCCAGTTAAGAGCGCTTTCTTTTAATTAAACTCATTGACTTTATTTTATACAATATGCCGCTAGCTAAATTTTTTAAAAACTAATTTTGACTTCGAGATGTTAAGGACTCTGATGAAATGAAATTAATTAGTCATAAAATTCTCGTAGCTATGTAGTTTTATATTGTTGTAAGAAGTGTTTTTATTTGTGGTACCTATGTACTTTATTTTTGTACTTTCAGACTGCTAAGTTTGGGGCAGTTAATTAGTGGAACAATATATTATGCTACTATTCTTTTCTAGTCCCTTAAATTAACAGGGGTTGTTCGTACAAAGTTCTTCAACTAATTTCGTCTTCCCAACAAGGTATGCATATTCCACTCATCCTACAGGATCATCCCGGGCCCGGGATGTGACTAATTAAGTCGTAAAAAGTGGCGTTTGTCTACATAACGTAAGTTATTTGGTGCCGGCGAGCGAGTGAGTTATCGCCTGTATCCCCTTTAATTATTCATGGCGGCCCAAGTTTCAGCAACTTCGGACCGACATCTGGCGGGCTACTGTTAAATAATTTGTATTCGCTTCTTTAAGGCGCTGGATGCGGTTTGCATTAGAATTAGCGAAAAACTAAGTTCAGAGATCAAGTTTGACGGGTTAATTTATTGGGGCGCTAATTTCAGGGAGTTGAACAAAGTTTGCGTGTCAAATTGTTATCTAAGCTAGTATACAATAAGTATATCTTCCTATTTTCTACCCTGATTAAAATGGTTTGATTTGAATCCAATCAAATTCCTTGTGGTACTTTTTTGCGGGCGTATCTACAATGTTCGTTGGCTGTTTTATGTTCTACAAGGAACTTACATAAGTAATTGTATTTTATGATGTACCTAAATGCGAAAAATGCTGTATTGTTTCAGATGTGGTCGCCGCGAGCGCGCGCGCGCCGGTGAGATGAGCGCCGCGGCCGCAAGCCGCAACTACTCCTACGATGAGACTATACAGGTAAGCCTAGGGCTTACCAATATGCAATCTAAAGTCTACCACTAGTCCAGAAAGTACGATACTTAACAGAATCTACCAGTTTACTGGTACTGATTCGTTCGTTTCAACCAAATGACGTCCACTGCTGGACAAAGGTCTCCCCAAGGTTTTCCACAATGATCGGTCCCGCGCTGCCCGCATCCAGGCTCTTCCCGCGAACTTTACCAGATCGTCGTACAGATTATTAGGCTAGAATAAGATGAAGAGCTTATTCGTATTCAGATACACGTGTCCTAGAACATAGGCATTCATGTTTAATAAGCTATAACCCTCCAAAGAAGAAGTTTAGAGAATAGACTAATGCGATAAGCTTCTTAGAGAGTAAAGTAACCAGACTAACCAGCTATAAGGGAATGGACACTGACACAGAACGCTATGCGGTTACTTAGAATGGGCTTTGTTGTTTATTCGTCCAAGGCTTTGTTCCATAAATGAAGATTGGCCTGACTTTCAACTACATAAAACAAAACTCTGTCTCTGACCTTCAACCAAACCTCACTAAATAATACTATTTCATTCTGAGTTCTGAATAAAGGTATTCAGTAAACCAATGTTAGAATTAACTATCCTCAAACTTTAACAAAACCTAATAATGTTCCATTGTGTCGCAAAACGTAAACGCCTTCAATTTCATTACTCCTTTCAGCTTATATTTGGAGGTTCAGCACTTTCACCGCTACTTCGTAGTTTTCAGTGCCGCAGACTACGTACAGAATGAATAAAGTACTTTCCCCGCGATCGAATTCCGATTAGTGTGAAGGAAAACCGACCTGAAACATGTTGTCATAAAGCTTATATTGTATTGTAAAGAGCGGAGTGCTAAAACTGCAAGCTCTTCCCGGTGGCCCGTAAACGCGATTTTAGGGTTGGCAGTTTCGAAATTTGAGGCTTGTTGCGGGGTGATAGAGTTGTTATTTAAGTGTCAATGGGTGTTTTTGGGATATGAACGAAGTTTT